AAAAAAAAAAAATTTAGTCTTGAGAATGAGCTGGAAATGTAGCTCAGTGTGAAGGCCCTGGGCTCAAGCCCAAATTGGAAGGGTGAGAGAGAGAAAAGACAGAAAAGGAGAGAATGGAGAGGGGAGAGAGAAAAATTTAGGCCCTTTCTGAGAATAAGTCTTATTCATTTTATTTGACTATGAGAAGGAAGACAATCAATATTTTTTGGCAAAACACTGATCTGCAGTTTTACTCTACTGTTCAAAATCTATTTTGGCAAAAATATATTTAAAGTATATGCTAAGGAAAAGATGTTATTAATAACATTTTGATTTCACCAACTACTGTTGAGAATATTAGGGAAAGTATCCCTAAGTAGAAGGGAACACATATAATTAAAAATCATTTGATCTGCCTTGGAGCACTTTCTGGAAACAGAGAAAGCATTGTTAATGATTGCTTATACGCCTTGTGAAAATTAGGTGCTTTCCAGTTTCTATATTTTTTTTTAAAGTGGAGAACCATCCAATTTGAATTTTTGTTGATAGTGCCACAGAGTGATTTTTACCAATAACAAATCGTATGTTCATTTCCTAGGTACGGCGGAAGGAATTTTGAGGGCATCTGGAGAACCAGGTTCCACTTCCATAACAAACTTCTGTTCCCAACTGCAAGTTCACACCAACAAGGTTTCAAGCACCTTTCACCTCCAAAGGTGAAGGTAAGCTGGGGTTCCTCACTGCTCTGCCCCATTCACCAGTAAAGAGGGGAGCCACACAACCCACAGGCACAGGCTGCGAGGGCAGGGGCACTTCTGGTCATCAGTACTCTTACGGGGTGACTGGGTGTAGGCCACTGTCCAATAGGCACCACCCTCAGCGGACCCGGGAACTAACCCACTGCTCACCCTGCTGATCAGTGAGTGAATTCCAACAAAGGCTCCCTCCGCGCTCAACAACTGATTAACACCCTTTTGGTGTTAATTTTGATGATTTCACGAACTGGGTCCTAACAGAGTGTAAAAAATAGTTCAGTCTTAAAGAACATGAACACTTAGATCCTTATGCTCACTGCAAATTTTTAAAATATGAAATTGCAATTTGTAAAACACAAAATTTACATACGTTTACATAAATGTATAAAACAAAGATGAACACAGAAAATGTAATATGAACAAATACTAGCAAAGCATATATAAAACTTTCATGAATAAAGCTTTCTTACATTTAGAAAAAAAAATTATAGATGAATTACAGTAAATACCACCTTAAAGGTCAAAAAGAAAACAAGTGAGAATTTTCTGGTAGGGGAAAAATGGATTGTTTGGGTATGAGGTAGAGATAGTGTCCACCTTTCAAAGGTGTCTGTCACACCCACGTGGGAACAAAAGCACCAGAGATGTCCGTCTGGTGGCTGCAGAAGCAGAGTGTGGTGACACATCGTGCTGAGGACTTGGGAGCTTACCAGGCAGAAGCATTTGGATTGGAAAAGACAGGGATCTAGACACTTAAAAGTCCTTGTGTGCATTTGAGGAGTAGACACTTAGAAAATATGTAAAGAGTACACAACAATTATTTTTAGAGTGTTTGGAAATATAAGTATTAAAAAGCTGATTGCTTTATTACTAAGTTATTGTGGTCCTTACAGATACAGCCTTTCATTTTTTGTACAAGTGATTCGGGTTTTCTCCAGAGGAGGGAGAGACACGATGTGCTACTGAGACTGCTGGCAGCATGGGGCAACCAAGGGTTGGCGTGGCCCATCCTAGGGGCCATCCAAGTACTGTAGTCAGCATCCTCCCACTTTCAGATCTCCTGACAGCCGTTAGGGCTAGGGACAGCAGAGAAGAGGCCTTGTGGCTCTCAAGAGGCCTTGTAGATGTAAAGCATTCCGAAAGCGCCAACAGCTACCAAAGACCCCAGGAGGGATTCACAGGCATTGGCAGCCTGTGAAGGAAATGCTATTTATATAGCAGCAGCAGACCAGGGAGCAGTCCAGATCTGAGGCTGTGATTAGTCCACATTCACGTCTGCTAATTGGTCTAAGTTCAGTCTTGCTGATTGGTCCCAATTTAGTGCTGCTGATTGGTCCAAATTTGAGCCTACTGACTGGTCCAATTTCAAGCCTGCTGATTTGTCAAAATCAGAGCCTGTAAATGGTCCCAGCTCAAGCCCCCTGATTGGTCCAAATTCAAGGCTGCTAATTGGCCCAAACACAAGTCTCCTGATTGGTCCAAATTAAAGGCTGCTTATTGCTTCAAACTCAGTGTAACGCCCTGGTTGAGGATCAGAGACCACCAGACTTGTGTAAAGGCAGTGTGGCCTTGGTTGCCTTTATTGTGCTGTGGTGCCAGCAGACAGAAGAGGAAAAGATAGTCTGTAGAGAACAAAGAGAAATGGCACCCTTTTACAGGGGTTGAAAGAAGGCAAGGGACATGAGGTGGAAAGATTTTAATAAACAAAGTTCTCTGCCTGTCTGGCACCTCAGTGGGCAAAGTCCTTGAAGCATCCAGTGTAAGTGTTGAGGTGGCTCCAGATGTTCCCAGATGTCCCCAGATGTCCCAGGATCTGCAAGATTCCTTCTTCTATCTTATCTCTTGTCCTATCTTATCCTGTGTCTCTGGATGACAGCCTCAGTGCTGAGCTGAGTTCCCTGCTGAGAACAGTATCTCTGCTGGCAAGTAGGTTGGAGGCTGGGAGAGGCAGGTCTGATTACACCCTTACATTCAGGTCTCCTGATGGATCCAAAGTCAAGGCTGCTGATTCGTCCAAATTCAAGGCTGCTGATTTGTGCAAATTCAAGCCTGGTGATTGGTCTAAATTCAAGCCTGTTGACTGGTCAAAATTAGAGTCTGCAATTGCTCCAAATTTGAGTATGCTGATTGGTCCAAATTTGAACCTGTGGCTGATCAAAATTCAAGCCTGCTGATTCAAGCCTATTGATTGGTCCAAACTCAGTTCTGCTGTTTCCTTTAAACTCCAGTCTGCCACAGGCAGGGCCCACAGCTACCAGAAAGGCTGGGGTGTTTGGGTCGCTGCAGCTGTCAGGGAGACAGTTCAGGGAAACAGAAAGAGGGGGCACTTGACATCTGTCCCATCTCTGTGATAACTGCAGGGCTAAAATCAGGACTGTTGTCATTTTGGGCATCCTGCACAAGAGGTGGCTGTGTTGATCACAGTTTCTTGGGGCTTGGGGACCTGGGGGATGTTAACTGTGAGCCCTGAACCCCTTCCTGGTCTTTGCACCATCAGGGAGTTTTCCCCAGGCTTCTTCAGAGAGTCGCAGAGCCTGGGACATGGGAGCCAGGCAGCGGCATGGGACATCAGCCAGAAGGTGACTGGGAGGATACTGGACTCCTCCGGAGATCACAGGGTGAGCCGTGAAGCCCTTGTGGGACCGGCAGAGGTGCAGAACTGTTATCCTTGTCCAGTGCCTGCTTGCCAGGCCCGGCTCAGGGGTGCCACCACTTCACACAGGGCAACACCGCCCTTGGGGACCTGGGGTCACCTGCAGTCTCATCCAGCTGAGCACTGTGATTCTCCTTGAGGGTATTAAGGATAAACACTCAGCTTCTTGATGTTTGATATTTAGAGTAAAATTTTGAAAAATAAAAACACTGTTGAAGAGGTAAACATGTCAGTTTTATGTCTCAGTCTGTGTGGAAAGGGAAAAAGAAGAGGCTGCACCAGACCTCAGAGAGCTGGAGAAGCACCTGCTGTGCATGGCCAGAAACCATTCCGTGTCCCAACCTGCAGTCAGCATGGGCTCCTGGCATCTGCCTCCCAGATCTGTGATATGGCCCCAATTGACAGGAAGATGCAGACCTGTCAGGGTAGCATGGTCTTTGGGGCACCGCTCACCTAGTTTATCTGGAAGATTTCAGGATCTATATTTATGTCCCAGCTGTCTAAGAAACAAACCCTGACAGTGTGGCCACAGCTTTGCCTGTAAAGGATGGCACCCTGCAGAAGGTGATGGTGGCTGCTATCTGAGAAGTCTCAGAAACATCCCATCTTTGCGGGGTCGCCTGCTGGAGCTGCCACTGCCTCATCTACTCGGAGACTTCCAAACCTCCCAGGCCCCGGGGGCTCCAGCGCCAGATCCTGTCTCCTCTTTGAGCCAGGAAGCAGCCTTTGCCGTAGCAACAGAGCATTACAGCCATCAGATCCCTTTCCTCCCACACTGGACAGCTAGGTCCTTGAGGACAGACTAGAGGTGCTTCCACTCTGTGCCTCGAGCCCCCTGCAGGCTGTGTGGGCGAGGTGAGAGCAGTTGCAACTGCTTCACATGTGGCGGCTCAGTGTGTCCTCCGGTGCTATCCCAGTGACCTCTCGAGCCTTTGGTGAAGCCTGGGGGGTGGGGGATGGGCACAGTAATGGGGATTGAAGGACCTTCACAATGAACTATATCCCCAGCCCTTTTTAAATATTTTAAGACGGGATCTTGCTAAGTTGCCAAGTTCCCCACACTGGGCTTGAACTTGCCATTCTCCTGCCTCAGCCTCCTGGAGTGCCGGGATTATGAGTGTGGGCCATCACACCCAGCTGTGATTTGCCTACTGAAGTATGTCAGAAGCCTCTCAATCAATCTCAATCTTTCTCTCTTTCTCTCTCTCTTTCTCTCTTTCTCTCTCCCTCTTCCTCTCCTTCTCCTCTCCCCTCTCCCCTCTCCCCTCTCAATTTTAGGCAAGGATCTTTACTTCTTTTTCTAGATTCTGTAGTAGAGGACACATCATCTTCCTTAGGACCAGATGGGGGGAACCACTGCCATGTGGTGAACCAGGGGAGGAACCAGGGGAGGAGTCTCCAGGTGGTCCAGGCTCCCAGTCATGGGAGGGCATGAGGGGCCTCTCCAGCCCATACCTGTTGTTGCAGGCGCCCGTGATGAGTCTGTACTTGTTCGCCAAGCAAGTGTTGGGACATTTTGGCGGCAGCATGTAAGGTAGGCACCCAGACAGATTTGCGATCATGTTCAGTAGTTCTTCTGATAAAACCTCTGAGGAACGAAGAGCAGTGCATCAGTGCTCTATTCCCAAGAGCAAACCTGCCAAATGCAGGAAACTTTCTACTGTAGCCCCCCGTAAGTGGCTCTGCCATCTGAGCCAGGGGATCCTGTGGACTCTGAGTCATTCTTTCAAGACAGTCTGCATCCTGTCTTTAAGTCTAGGGCTCCCTCGTTTAATTCTCCTGAGCTTCTTTCCTGTTAGGGATGTAGAGTTTTGTTTTGGCTTTTGCTTTGTGGTGTTTCAGAGACGTAGTGTGGGGACTCCGAGCCCCAACCACGACCGCGTCTCCGGGTTACCCCAGCCCACAGGCACCCGCAGTGCTGAGACACTGTCGCTGCACAGAGACACATTCCTTCCGGCCACGCTTGGTTCTCAGAGGATGGTGAACGTGTGGCCTTTATCCCCCAGTTAAAATAAAAACTTGCCTTGGTCAGGTTTGCTAATAGTCTTAAGCTGTTCCTCTATAAACCTCTGCTGTTTTCACTGATCTCAGAGTCCTTACACAACTCCCTAAATTACAGCCCAAGAAAGCAGCCTCTTTCTTTCTTTTTTGCCAGTGTGGTCACTATGTCATTCAACAAATCAAAGTAAGGGCTCTTTTGTTGTCCGCTAGTAGAAATGACCACTGGTTCTCTCCCCAAGATGGTTTAAATAAATCTTTGGAAATAATACCATAAAACTTTGATGGATCACTAATCAGATGCCAATGAGACTGAGACATTCACTAAGAAAAAGCCAGGAAGAAATGCATTCCATTTTCAAAGAGAAGAGAATCAAACAAGCTCTGAATAAGAACAGCAAGTAAACCACCTTACTGGGAATAGTTAAACAAGACTCCAACCACAATTTGCATTCAGTTAATGGGGGGCTATGCATGTCTTACAGCTGCAGCACAGCAAACCAAGTTCTCTAAAGGGAACCAAGGGGTTGCAGCCACATAAACAACCAAATGCACTTCAGCAGAGCCAGGAGGAGAGCAGTTATTACGCTGTGATTGAAGTGATTGAAAAGAACCTCTGGGCTCCTTTTACTTTTTTACATTATAAATGTTCTAGGTTGGCTATGCTTTTAGAGGGAATAATTTTCAAACATCGTGTAGTATGTGGTTGTTGAATGCTTCCTCATGGCCTGGACCAGACACATCAGCCTGTTTTCCCTGAATGTCTGCACCTTCACGTGGGCAAAGGGGCCAGAAATACTAAGGTACAAGCCAGGAGACCCACATCCCAGGCACCAGAACATACCATCCTGATGGTGATTTTTTTCTCTCATGGCCCTAGCCAATCCCATGGTAGGCTAGGAGACCAATGTGCTTACAAACATTTTCCAAACACATGGTTTGAAATGAAAACCATGTCAAGCTGAGTATGGTGGCATGTCTATAAGTCAGCACTCTTAGAGGCTGAGGCAGGAGAATCGAAAGAGTGAGCCTACTCTTCTCTCAGGAGAATCGAAAGAGTGGGCAACCCTGTCTCAAAATAAAAAATAAAAACAAGAGCAGGAGATGTAGCTCAGTGCAAATGTCCTGGGTTGCATCCCCAGTAACACACACACACACACACACACACACACACACACACACAAATCCTATTGCTAGATAATCAATTAAACTTCACCATTAAATTTAGGAGCTGAGAATTCTGGCTGACCCGGGTATAGTTAAGTTTGTCCAGTGACTCAGCACTAGATAAAGAAATCCTGCACATTGCTCCCACCTCACAAGGTACAAATATGCCTTTGATGATATCCATTATTTTCCTGATATCTCAACACTAAATCCATAGAGACCTTGACTAGGAAACCTCCTCCTCCTCCTCATTTGGCCTGCCGCAGCTGTCCACACAAGTGGCCAGGGTCCTGTCCTCCTTTGTGGGCTGGCAGTAGCCTTGGGTGACCAAATCTGCCCAGGCGTTGGCTCAGTGGCGCCCTCTGCTTGCTGGAACACTTCCTCTAGGAAAAATGTGTTTCCTCTCAAGGTGACATCCCTAGACCGTGAGCTCCCAGTGGCCAGGGAGGTGATGGGAAAATGCCCAAATCGCTTCCCGCCAGAGAACAGAGCTGCTTCTCCATATCTGACCTGAATAGCAGAGAACCAGAATCCCCCAGAGAAGGAGGAACAGGAAACTGGGACTGTTCTCAAGCATCTTAAGAGCTGCTAGTGTCCGTCATGTCCTGCTCGCTGTCAGCCTAGAAACATCCCCAAACGGCAACAGCAACCCCCCCAGACTGAGTATGCCCTCCCTGTGCTGCAAGGGGCCACACTCACCCGGGGAAGCCAGCGGCTGCGTCAGCCCCAGTGCCTGGATGGAGGCTTCCGCGATCTCCGCAGCTCGGGAAATAGCTCTGCTTGTGGGCTCGGGGAGCTTGGAAAAAGACAGCAGCTGAGATGGAGAAGTGATGTCCCTCTTTCTGTGGTTCCTGGAGCATAAGAAGGAGAAAAAAAGAAAACACATTTAAGGCCACTTGGTTCTTAGTTACCACTTAACTCAGCGTCTAGTGATGAGAGTGATGAAATCATTCCAACACCCGCAGGGCTGCCGGGGGCACTAAAAGGGGTGGCCCACGATGTCGACAGTGCACAGATGTTAAATGATGGAGGGAATCACTGATATTCGCCCTTTAACTCCCATGCCTGTTCTAAGTTGATCTTCATAACAATTGTTTGCTTCATATTAAAAACCCAGTCACTTCCAGAGATAGGAAGTGTCTGTGCATGGCCCTCCAGGCTGCTGGTGGCCCAGGCCAGTGCAAGCATTCCTGTGAGATCCCCTCAAGCTGCTGTCCCCTCCTCCCCATGGGGCCTGGCCCTTCTGGATTCACAGCAGCACCAGCCACAGTGGTTCCTGAGGACCGGGAGGCCAGGGACAGCAGCAGGACAGAGGTGTGGTTGGTAGTGACCCTTTCGTCTCCGGGTGGCCCAAAGCATTGCCTGTGCACCTGCTATGTGGACTCTGGACCCCCAAGTCATATCTGACATACGTGCAGGCTGGGCCCAGTGTGGGACAGAGGGCTACAGGCACCTGCCACCCAGTGGCTGCCCGAGCTGGGGCACTGCAGGTGGGGGTCTCTCAGAAATGCCTGGGCTACCCTAAGAACAAGGCTGGTCATGGTAGGAGCTGGGATTGGGGTCTTTGGAGGGTACTTTATTAGAGAGATCTGCTGTAGGTAACTCTCCATGTGGCCCTGCAAACCTCTGAGGGCTGGGTTGTAGCTCAGTGGCAGAATTGTGTATCGTATGCACAAGGTAGTGTCACAATAGCATCACAACCGACACCCAAGAGGGACCTCTAGAGCCCTTGTTCCTTGCTCTGCGCTAGATCTTGGGGAGGGAGTTCCACTTTTGATCAGGATTTCAGCCTCTCTTAACCAGAAAGTCTTGAATTACAGGTCGGATCATGGTGCTTTTGTTCTATGTTTTGCTAAAGAGAGAGTCTGAGATTCATTTCACTTCTCTCTGCCTCCTGCAGTGATACAGGAAAGTGACTTTCTCCCACGAGCATGGGGCTGGGATTTTAGATGGGGCTGCTAGGCAGTTTAGGAGGTGACAGTGATGAATGAGGGGGGCAATGCGGGACAGCAGATGACAGTCAACACCCACTGCTCCGCCTTCTGCTATGCCAGTTTACCTTTCCAGGGAGGCGTAGATGGCCCTGTCCACCATGCGCTCACTGGCCTCCAACACACTGCGAACATGAGCGTTTCTGGCCTTTCCTGCAGAACAAAACAGTAAAAGCCCAGTGGCACCTGCAACTCTGCTGCTGTAGTCGTCACCTCCAGTCCAGCAGGGGTAGGGACAACCTTGGGGACCAGTGCATCACTGCACTCCCACGGACCTGTATCCCTAAGAAGGAGCGCTGCTCCTCTCTCAGAGCGAGACTAGAACAGGCAGGGATGTGTCTACATCCCATTTCTCAGTTGCTCAAACTATCTCATGACCCTGAACAGCTTTCTGAATATGTCCGTTCATAACAATGTGTTTGCACACTTCACAGAAGATGAATTCTTCAAATACAGGAGCAGTGTCTGAGATTGCTGTCATCAGATTTTATTTTGTCAGCACTTAGGCTGTCGGGTAGGTCAGGACCCCACCTCTGGATCCAGACATGTGTTAGGAAGGTGACAGGGATGGCTGGAGATGCACCCCCTCCTCCTGTCACTACGTCAGCTTTTCTGTAACCAGTACTTCACTGAAAGAAATGCATTGATTCCTACAAGTAAAGGGACACTGAGAACGTTGCGAGCATTAAATATCTATGTAGAAATAAAACTACTTTTGCAAAGGTAAATCTCAGCCTGGTAGGTGGTACAGGCCCGCAACCTCAGCACTCAGGGAGGCTGAGGCAGGAAGATGGCAAGTTTGATCCCAGCCTGGGCCACTTAACAACTCTGGAAGATTCGTGTCAAAATAAAAATAAGAATGGGCTGAGGACGTAGTTTAGTACAAAGGTCCTGTGTTCAGTCTCCAGTAGAGAAAGAAAGGAAGAGAGAGAGGCAGGAAGGTACGGAAGGAGGATGGAGGAAGGAAAGAGAAAAGCAAGCACATAAAAGGCAAATGTCAACATTTTTGGAAGTGAGTAGCATGACGTGCCAACATTCCAGCGAGCATGTCGAGTCCACGCGAGACCCCAGCAGGGCTACGCGACCCAGCAGCCTCTTCCTGAGCGCCTTCTGATGGTGTTGGCACAGAAGAGATGGAGGGACCGGAAGCTGTGAGTGTGAGACACACTGGACCCCAGGTCCCCAGGTGGAGTGAGGATGCCAGGCCCACTGCGGGGTGAGCACGCACAGGAATCTCACTCACGTTCCTCTTGGTCTTAGACACCCACTGAGGCTGCCTCCACTGCCAGCTCATTGCTGCTTCTGAAATCAGTCGTGGCCCCTTTTTGGTCAAATTTGCTAATCAGTGCAGGTGAGGGGGCTCTCTGACCTTCTGGCAGGGAGGCCTGGGTTCAAATCCCACCTCAAAGACTTGGCAACCCCAGCCCTGCTGTATGCTGTCCTGGTCATCATCTAGGAGGTTGGTGCAGCTTCAGGGCCAGTGAGGGTTTCGAGCTGTAGGGCCAGGCTGGGCTCCCAGCCTCCTATGCCCTCCCCCCAATCTCCTCTTCAGAGTGTCATCTGTGCCATCCTCTCCCAAACATCTATCTTCACCTTGAACTTCGCTTCTGAACCCACACCACCTCCTTCTGCCCCGGCCTGCATTCATGCCTCAAACGTTCACCCAGAGTCGAGTAGCACCAACAAGCTCGGCATGGCCTCTCCCCGCTCCTTGCTGCGTGAGGTCCCCTGCACAGTGGTCTGTACCCAGCAGCGTCGTGTCTGTCTGCCGGGTGGGAAAGGTTCTGTTCACTCCTGAGTCCATTTCCTGCATCTCTTGGTGGAGCTGTGGCCCGAGTGGTCTTCCTAACACAGACCTGTGGGTCCTGCACCCAATAGCACCAATGGGTCCCCGATTCCCATGGGATAAATCAGGCTCCTTGGGATGGAGTTCAGGAACCCTGCCACCTGGCCACACCTCCTTCCAGGATTCAAAGCACAGGATGTGATGCCCAGTGTCACCCTCAGCTTATGACAGTGCCGGCATCAAATCCCCAGCTCAGTCAGCACCTAGACAGAATTTGTCATTGACCAATATTCGTACACTCTCACCTAAGCTTCATCAGTCACATATTATTTATTCCTTTGTCTTTTTTATTAACAAACATTTCACTGAATTTTTAAAGAAAAGTTTTATAGACTTGTCAGTTATTATTGTCCTCAGACCCGGTCCACCTCTTCTTTACACCTTCAGCTCAGACTGTACCCATGCCAGGTGGCACGTCATGGTGGCACGTCATCACCTGTAACTGTTCTGTGATGCCCTTCCATGCAGCCTATCTCCTCCAGCTTTTCTTCACAACTTAGCATGAAACTCGAGGGAGGTAGCTGACTCAATGCCTAGACCAGGAGCCGCTGCCCCAAATCCTGGCGCTCCCTGAGTGACCGCACCTGTCGGAGATTGTTTCCACCCTTTCAGGGTGAGCCCCAAAAGTTCCCCCAGTTCTATCCATGGCACACGAAAGAGAAGGAATCCAGGACATTGTTATGCAAGAAGATACTACATTTCAGGTGAAGAAGGAAGTTGCCTGGCTCCACAAGGGTTTATATAAATGAAGCAAAGAAAATGAAACAAAACCGAAAAGAAAGCCCAGATCTTCACGGCCCAAAACCGCACAGCTCACCACGCTCCTGCGCCTTACCCTTGGCTGACCCTGAGCAAAACCAAGTGCTCAGAGCTGAGGTCAGGACCGAGTTTTGATCATGTTTGCTGAAATCTAGTGAACCAGAAGGGCACCTGTTGACTTTCCTTTCTAAACAAATCCACCCTGGGCCTGGGCCCACGTTTCCTGGTGTGCAGCCAATGTCCTGCTCCTGTTGTTCATACTGCTGCTGGAGCATTTGCCATAAGTTACTGCACTTAGCTCTGGATTCTGCTCCAAGGCTAGAAATGCATCTTCGGCTGCGCTGATGAGAACACAGGATACAGTGCTCCTGGGCCCTTGCTGCTGCTATGGAGTCTTCCATAAAGGACGCATCTCACATTTTTCTAGAACTACAATGGCCCATGCATAGGATTGCTGGGCGAAAGGAAATGTTTACTTTTCATTTTCAGATATTTTTATTGTGGAATTTTTCAGGTGCTGAATTCTTTTTTCTCTTTGTGCTTGGATCCCGGCGATGGGGTAGTCATCCTGGGCTGGTTCCACACTGCAGGGAGGGGGTGCCCAAAACCTGTTGCACAGATGCTGGGAACCCCAGTACACAGACTCACCCCATAGCGTGGTTTGCTACATGCGCCTAGGTTTGAGCTGTGGTGCGTATAGCTGATGAAAATTACACTTTGGGGAAAGTTTATAGGACTATTTATAGTACTGTCCCAAATGAGCTAACGAGGTGTTGTCAATTGTTTAAAATAACTAACTAAATAAAAACTTCTTATACTAAACAAATGTAAAACGGAAACGCTGTGAGCAGGATCTATGTTCTAAATGAGAAATTTACAAAGCAAACAAGTCCTGAGGCAGCTTCTAAGTATCCCAATGAAAGGAAAGTCTATGATTATCAACTATATTAGGCACCCTAAGCGGCAGCAACCAGGGCTGGGCATGGATGAGGATGGCCAGGGCTTGGAGCTGGTCAGTCCCTGCCCAACAGCAACCAAGCGGATGGGCGGTGTGCAGCCCTGAAGAAGGCCAGGGTCTCACCGGCACTCTGCCTGAGTAAAGCTCATTTTCAGGGCTTGTGACTTCTCTTTTTTAAGATAAGCAATTATTTTAACTAATGTATTTCAGTAGAAGTCTCATCCTAATCTCACACGATAGCACACTGATTCTAGAAATATCCTGCAGATGTTAGTGAATGAACATCGAAAAGGAACTAAGTACAAAAATACAAAGAAAAAATACCCACGTACATGAATGGGTACAGGTGAAACTGTTTCATGTGGCAATCATAGGAAAATCAGTTCTTTTTCAGAAAGAATTTTATTTTAACCCTTCTAAACACAAGAACGACATTTTTCTCTCTCAAAGGCATACCAAAGCATGCGCTAAGCCAGGCATGGTGGGACAGGCCTGTCATCCCAGCACTCAGGAGGCTGAGACAGGAGGATGATCACAAGTTCAAGGCCAGCCGGGGCTACAATGCGAGACCCTGTCTCAAGAAACTAAACCAAACCAAGCGGGACAGAAACCAAACATGTAATAAAAAGATCCCAAGGGACTCTCAGGAGCTACCATTACACTTTCCTTTTGCAAGTGGGAAATGTAACTTTCTTCATAAGGTCAAAGAATTGCATTTTGATTGCTACTTACCCCAGAGGAGTCCTTTGCCTCTCGAGATGAAAGGGAGGAGAACTCCGGCACAGACCACGACCAGCGTGACGGCCACAATTGTGTGCTTCCTCATCCTGAGGCTGAAACGGGCACACGGGGAGCACAAGCTCTCACTGGCTATGTGAGGTTGGTTCAAAACCAGCCCCGCCCCTGCCTCTTGGGGGTGCCTGGTCCTCGCTGCAGGAGCTCGCCCTCTAATCGGGGGACACAGCTAGGCACAGGCTGGGCAGACCTTGAGGGTCAGCACGGACTTGAAGCTGGCCCTTTCCCATTTGACAGCTCAGTTGCCAGAATATCTCAGCAACTACCTACCTTAATCCGAGGTCATGCCAAATAGTGTGACATTACAGGGAATAATTACTGGGAAGAAAAGAATCTATTTCTCCTGCTATATCCCCGAGGGACAGACAACTCATGTTAGGAATTTAATGTTTGTAACAATGGCTAATCAAATCCTCCACCTGCTGTTGAGTTTCTCACAGCACTCCTATTCTCAGAAGTGATTTCAGAAGTTCAGAGCTGTCAAGACAGAGCCTGAGATTCCAACTCCGTCCTTTGCACTTTCTAGATCTTTGCTTCCTTCACCTCAGGCTTTTGCAGCTGGCTCGGAGCTCCAGGCTTGGAGCTCAGGGCAGTACCAACAAGTGCCTTGGAGGGGGCATCCTGGAGACAGATGCTCTCTGGGTTGACCCAGCACAGCACCCTGAGGCTGAGGAAACCCAGCTCTGCCAGGAGGAGGGACACACGCTCGCCTCTTGGCCCCTCGGACCACTGTGCAGTTTCACTGATAGATTTCTCCCAGGGAATAAAAACCTATCGCTTCAGAGCCAAACCTTTCCTCCCTCTCAGTGGCAGAGACCCGTGTGCTCAGGTGGGCACCGTGCGGACAAGCTGGCTCCTGGCTGTGGGACTCACTGCGGTTGGGACCCGGTCACGGCCACATAAACTTACGCCCCACATTGATGTTCATTCACGCCAGCAGTCAGGAGGTGGGGCGGCCATAGGATACGCTCAGGCGTCACTGCTGCGCCAGGCTGCCCAGTGTCCCTGCTGCGCGGAGAGAAGGGGCCACATCAGCAAGGTTGACTGCTCACCCAGCCCCTGCTAGTCCTACAGTCTCCTCTCTTATTTCTCAGAGGAGGAAAAAGGACACGGATCCAGCAACGCTAAGTGGATTGGGTGCTGCCCTGTGCTCTGTGGCAGCCCCTAGTGACTCTGGGCTGTTACTGACCCCTGCTCCCTGCAGCTCCTTAGAATGACTGAAGTGCCGGCCCCCACGGACGCTCACACCTGGCCCTCCAGAGTCTCCGTGGCTGGCATGGGGCCATCTGTGTGGTCCAAGGAAAACTGTGACTTGTGAAGAAGCATCCCGCAGTTTGACGTCAGAGGACTCACACACCAAGTGCACCTCTTCAGCTGCTCCGTGGAGCGAGAAGGACGCCTTGTTCCTCTCGGGAGCTCTCTAGTAGTTCCGCATCACCGTCTTGCCACACAGTCACACTCTCCCAGGGGGCCCCGAAAGTCCCCAAGCCCGGCAACCACCATAATAAACAGAATCCCAGACCTAGGTCCTCGAGCTTGTGCAAATCTAGCTCTGCATTTGTGGATATCCAAGTCGGCACGCATGGGGTGCTCTTTCACGTTCTCATACGATTTGCCCCTACAGTGCAGCCCTGGAGATGGGGATTTCAAGCAAACACAGTCTTCCTCCACCTGAGAGACACATGGAGTTTGCATAATTATTTTTACCTAATTTAAGAGGTTCCAACAGGTAATAGAAATATCAGTGACTGTAGAGGAACGTCATGCTTTCGGATAAACTCAGTTTTCTTTTTTCTTTTTATTCTTTTCTTTTCTTTCTTTCTTTCATTCATTCATTTATTTATTTTAGCTTTTTGAGACAGGATCCCACCATGTAGTTCAGGTTGGCCTTGAACTCACAGCATCCTCCTGCCTCAGCCTCCCAGATGCTGAGGTGATAGGTATGCACCACCATGCTAGGCCTAAACTCAGTTTTGTATTGAGTGTTATGACCCGACCCTTGGAGAAAGACGAACAAGTACCCACCTGACTTTTCTGAAATCCCTAATACATCCACCAGGCTGCTTGACAACCTAAGAAAGGAAGTGTTTGGGGAGATTTGTAGAAAGCAAATGTGTCATCCTTAAGAAGAAATCAAAGGCAACACTACAGCCCTTGTTAGGAAAACAGACACACAAGGAAACCCACCTGCTCTCTCTGCTGTGAACCCAAGCGAAGATGTGTGCTCCTGAAAGGCTTTCAGTGAGTTTCCCACTCCCAGTGAGCGCCGTGTGTGCCCCTTCTCGGAGGAGACAAAGGCTCCTCCACTTGGACAGGGGACCTGCTTTCCTGGCCATGCAATGAGCACAGGTCTAAGCCAAGGTGAGGCCCCGCGTGGTGACCGCCGCAGTTTAGGAAGGTGCTTGGCTGCCGTGAGCATCTTTCTAGGGGTATTTGGGAAGTACTGAGGGCACAGAGTTCATCCACATCAGCACAAAAGGAAATGGAGCTCTGGGGGCTATGTGGAGGGCATGCCTTGTAGTCTCATTTAGCATGAAGTTGTCCAGGTTGTGTTGGAACTTGCGCTCCTCCTGCCTCAGCCTACCAGGATGCTACGATTACAGGTGTGCACTGACACCCCTAGCTGCCCATCCACATTTTTACGTTGTATGTGAAACCTGGGCTTGGTATGCAAAGGGAAGACAGAGGATGTCTGGTCATTCTGTCTTACTTTTGTAAGAAATGATTATTGAGCAGGTGTGGTGGTGCACACCTATAATCCCACTACTCCAGGAGACCGAGGCAGGAGAATTGCAAGTTCAAGCCTAGCCTGGGCAACTTAGTGATCAACACCCTCTTTCCAAAAAAAGGAGGGATCTGGTTATGTAATACAGTGCCCAAAAAAAGACAATAGATATTTTCTAATTTTTAAAATTTTATATATTCTTTAGAAAAACATTCTATGTATCATCTCTATCTATCATCTATCTATGTATCTATCTATCTATCTGCCTATGTATATATCTAAACTTTACTATCAATTCTCCCCAGGAAGACATTATTCACTTCCTTGTTATCCAGTAAAGGTACTTTTTAAAAACTGAGTTTTTAAACAAAAACCATGTGAAATTGTTGCCAGTTTCTTCTCTCACGCAGGTTTTGGCTTCGTAGCCCAAGGGAAAAAATGAGAATCTGCTCCGTTCTGGGATGGGAATTGTCTCTTGGCAGCAGGAACCGGAGGGCATGGTGAGCACTGGCGTGCTGGTGCCATAGCTGAGTTGCTAGGCGTCCTGGGCAGGGCACTGCCACATCCATGGAGGCCCAAGCAGCGGGAAGGTAGCTGCTCACCATGATACCTAACTTTACCTCTTCTGTGAGGAACACTGCGGAGAATCCCAACCCCTGTGGCTGCCAACACTCCTGTTAATAGGAGGTTGAAGTTAAAACAAGAAAATAAACATCTGCCGTGAACGCTGATGGCACAGAGACAATCATAACATGCTGGTGTGAAGTCTCCGTTCCTCGGGAAGCCTTGAGATGTTATGAAGAGCTGGGCCTGGTGACACACACCTGTCATCCCTGCACTCTGGGAGGCTGAGGCAAGAGGATCACCAGTTCGAGCCCCACCCAGGCAAGTCGTCAACTCAGCAAGATCCTGTCTCAAAATAAAAAATAAAAAGGGCTGGGCGTGTGGCTCAGTGTGAAGTCTTTGGGTTTAGTCCCCAGTTCTGGGTGGGGCCGGGAGGAGATTCTTAGAAGGACTAATGTGACATACACACTACACATGCACAGACGGATGGATGTGTGGCTCACTAAGAGGATGTGATTTCAAACCTAACAGGAAATGACTGTAAGTATGTGATAGGCTAGAAATGAGTCCCTTCTCCCCTATATCAGATAAGCCAGGCGTGGTGGGAGCCGTGGATGACGGCTGAGATCCTCATGGGCAGCAGACCTGGGAGCTGCACTTGGCTTCTGGTTGAAGCATCGGGGCACCGCACACTTCCCAGGCTCCTGCTCTTCATGGTCGGAGCTTCACCCACACCTGCAGCCTCAAGAAAGAGTCCCTCACCCTCCTGGCTTTCCCCACCAGTCATATCCTTCTTAAAAGAAAACTCAGGAACTCCAGTAAATTCCAGCAAAAAAAGGAAAGCGCCGCTCCTTACCAGTCATAAATAACATGAGAAGCAAGAAAACTAAAATAGTGTACATGCTGGATCGGATGAGTTAGGAAAATATTTCACATTCACATCTAAACGAGTTAGTTCGCCAAGCACTCTGCACTCCCATTACCACGGCTCCCCCTGCAGGGGACCTGTGCTCCAGATTCAACAAGCGAGACGCAGGCTGCAAACTAGTGACGCATTTTATTGGTATCACAACTCTGTCCTTGTTATAAAATCACACAAAGGTGCGACGTGGTGCAGGAAAGTTCGTGTCTTAAGAAAATAATTTCAATTTTCAGCACTCGGGGGAAGCCACTCTAGCTGCTGTGAAGGTATCTTCCGGCAAGGCTGTGGCTGTCCAGGAACGTGGGGTCCAGGGAGGCCACTTTGGAGGCCATGAAGGCATGGACGCAGTGCAGCACTGCCGGCAGGTCCTGGAACTCCAGCTCCTGCGGGAGAAGGGGAGGTGCGTGTTATAGACGTCACACGGGCACACTTCAGAGTCAACAAGCTCTGTACCTGGAAGCCCAAGAAAGATTCTCCAAGAGAGTGAAAACAAGTATGGCCCAAGTGCAGTAAAGAGTGAAAGATGGAGTAGCATGACGGGACAGCCACCATCAATGTGGACATCCTGGTATTTTCACACTGGTTCTGAATATAAAAAATGTTTGTTGTCTTGAGCCCAGCATAGGTCAGCATGCACTTCCCTGACTGTGTCCTCCAGCAGCTGAGGCCAGAGCTGAAGTCAGACCTGATGATCTAAATTGTAATCATGGTATTTCCAACTCCTGCCAGTGCCGGGGTGGCACTGTGGCGTGGTTGTCACCACTGCAGGTCTGTATTGTCTGACTTTGCAGGGCCACCATGCACTCACCCTGGCTGCACACGTACTTCAGGCACAAGGTCATTTTTGGAAAGACAAGTACTGCTCTGAGTGATCCCAGGGTGAGGACCACAAAGAGGCACAGACCTGGGTTCTCCTTGCTCCTGTTTCCATGTCAACAGGGAGAAATGATGCTTAAGGGGAGGGGGACACCTACACCCAAAGAAAACACAGTAAAACTCCAGGACTTTCACTCTGTCAGCTCAGAGGTCCTGAATCATATCATTGCAGAGCAAAAATAACACCAACTAGAATCATCCTTTCCCCACAAATTTCCCACAGGAAGTCCCCATGCTGAGTTGACAAAGTGACAATGGACCTCAAAGCCAAAACAGAGGCTACACTGCTTCTAGAAGTTGGGCTGCTTCTGGGGAAAGCAGTCTTGCATGCTTGTGGGATACGAAGCATTCCCATCCTGCCACCCCTCCTGCCTGGCAGAAAAGGGGGTGCTGCGCACATCTTCCTGATTCGTCTCTCCTCTGCATCAGGTTAACAAACTTCCAATGGGATTGGGACAGGTATACTTCCCTTTAATGTGCCTGCTAACTCACTGACAACCTGTTTACTGACTTTCAGCAAATGCTGACCACTAAGCGGCTGCGATGACGTGAATGGGAAGGCTGTCATTTCCCAGAGAGCAATCCTGGCGTGCTGGTACCATAGCTGAGTTGCTAGGCGTCCTGGGCAGGGCCCTGCCATGTCCATGGAGGCCCAAGCAGTGGGAAGGTGGCTGCTCACCACCAGGCAAGGCTACCTCACCAACATCTGCATAGGCCCTTTCTGAGCTGCTTTTCTCCATAACCCAAGGATGGAATATCTAACATGATGTGACCTTATAGGGAGAAGCCAGTTCAACCCCCAGTTTCCCCATCTGTCTTCCTTTTAGAAAATGCCCCTTCCCTGGGACTTGGGACATGGAAGCCAACCACCGTCCCATTGGAGGTGGCCAGGATGACTGCAAGGGGTCCAGGACCTGCACAGCCACAGAATGGCCAAGCATAAGTAGGGCTGCTACTACAGGGCCAGAGCATTTGTAGGACAGGAACGCCACAATGAGAGCACCCAACAGAGACAGGGAAGAAGGACTCTGTGCAGATCGGGTCCCACTGTACTTGGAGCTGCCCCTTCCTAGCTGTGGACGCAGGAGGCCTCCACTGTTTCTGCCAATTTAAACTGCAGCTCTGCAGGTGAAAGGAGCTTAACCGTGTCAGCTACACCATCAGCTCACTGACTTCACGGCTTCTCATTGAGGATAGGGAAATGTTCGAGATGCTCAGGAAACGCCTCTAGTGCCTATGTCCATTCATAAGGACACACAAGGCTGGTTCAGCAATGTTACCTGCCCCATCATCTGTGGAGCCTGCAACGTGCCCACCGTGCCTGATATCAAAACAAGCTGGGCCCATGGGTTTCTCCACATCCAAAGGCCACACTGAAAACCTTCATTCATTGCGACCCTTTCCCAGGAGACAGAAAAACCAAATTACTTTCCAGAAGAAACACAAGACTCTCGCAAACTTGACACATACCGTAATGCAATTTCTGCATGTTTCCAAATAGTAACTACTGGCCTTCATAAAGGGAACCTGGGAAAAAAAAGCCATCCCATTCAAATTGGGTATGTTTAAGGAGCTTTATCTCATATATGCAAATGGTTTACGGGTTCCCAAGACTTATCCAATAACTGCACAACATAATGAAGCAAGAAGCCAATGGCCACCAGCATTAATGAACAAGCCCAAGAGCAGCAACAACTATTTCTGGTGTTGCAAGTTAAAGCCGCACTGCAACATCTTGGAAAGTGCTACAAAGACAGTGTGAACACACCCACCTAGCCCTATGCAGAGCCTCAGGCAACAGAGCTGAAACCCAGGAATCTGAGGGAACAGTGGTGAATGAGTTCCATTCTGTCCAGACGCTCAACAACTAGGCAGCCTGTGAATTATCTTTAATTCTGTAATGAGCAGGAAAAAAAATGTCCCCTAAGGACAGCTTTTACTTAAGAAAAAGAAAGAAAAAACTCATGATATTTTCCTATTTTAATTGTGTAAGTAGAATGCCAAGGGATAAGGCAAGACACCCCCTTTCCCTGATGCCCAGGGCCTCTGAAAACCAGCAGGTTTGATTCAAGCCCTGCAGAACCTTCACTGCCCACACGGGAGCGCTGGTGGGAAGACACAGGCTGACAGTAGGCTCCAGCAGGGCAGGATGGGCAGGCGGTCCAGGACCCTACACAAGATCCTTGTCCCTGAAGATGGAGAGGAAAGGACGGTTTCAGTGGGACCAATCAGGGGCAGAGCCAAGGGACAGAGCCTCTGGAAGCTGGAACAGCCAAGAACATGGCTCCTCCCCTAGCGTGTCCAGGAGGAGCGAGGGCCCCCACACCCCAACGGCAGCCTCGATAGGAGCTTGGAGAAGTATGAGGCAACTAACGTGCACTCATCAGCCACCAGGTCTTGGTGATTTGTTACTGCGGTGACAAAACCAGCACAGGTGACATTGCCGCCTAATCTGAGCTTCTTCCTCCCTGTGTTTGGGTGGGATTGGGGGTGCTTCTGCAGTGACAAATGTGAAGGAATGAAGACAAATGACCCTTTTGAGCAGAAACAACCGAGCCTTTGCCTTGGTGATGCTGTCAAATGGAAGAAAGGTCTGCGAAGGCAGAATGTTTCTCAGGGTATAGAAGTATGGAAACCCACAAAGAAATAAAATAGAGAGAAGCTTCCAGCAGATTGAGGCCAAATGCACAGAGTCTCTGCTGATGGGCCAGAAGAAGTTTTTAAAAGCTGCTTCGAAGCACATAAATCTTTGACCCTGTTGCTCCTTTTACACGTCCTACTCAATTCTTTGTTCAGGACAGCACGAAGGTCCTGACCTGGGAACACACGGCAGAGGATGCCGAGTTTGCAACAGAGTGAAAAGTGAATGCTGCTGTCTCTCCCAAGGATGGGCTTGTTCTACGACACTGCTTTGATTCTTCAACCCATCGCTGTCCCACGTGTGGGAACACCAGGAACTCAACATTGGAGTGAGCAGCACACACTAACACATGTCATTTTAGGGATGGAAGGAATATTGTCCTCCTCAGGACATGGTAAGACTTCTGTGATGTATTGAGCAGTACTTTCTGTACTAGTCTCCTCCGTTTCATGAATTTATTGATTTAAAACACATTTATTAAGCACCCTAATACTGAATTTCCTGCTGAAGATAAAAGCTGGAGCACACAGCTGCCTGTTGAAGGCTCTATCTCAGGAAAAATGAAATCACAGAAATCTTACAGGGCAAGCCCTGAACGAAAAGCAGCGGGAGATAGCTGTGGGATTGGGCAGGATGCTGTCAACCCCTCCTGCCCCACACCCCAGCCCCTGTCCTCACCATCTAAGTCATAAAGGTAACATGCTCAACTAAACAACACTGTAGAAAGCAAATCCTTCACTGTAGTGGACTGACAACTGGTGGCCAACTTACAATCCCCAACTGAACTGAGTAAGCATGGTACTGGGTGTGGGAGGCCCACCTAAGGATTGTTGCTACCAGCATAAGATGCAGAACTGGAGAAGACATGAGCCTGTTGGGAGCTGAGAGAAGGCTGTTGGGAGCTGGCAGAAGCTGTAAGGACCTATTGATTCTTTTGGAGGAGCTTGTCATCCTGGCTTTCCTGATGAACTCAGCTCTTTTCATCCTGCGAGGAGCTTGGGACCTTGTTGGCTCTGAGAATGGTGCCACTCTTTGAGCATTGCTTCCTAGCTCCAGAGGGGAAAATGGTGCACTGCCAGTCTCCTGGAGATACTTGTCACATTGGCTTTCCTGATGGGAACTCAGCCTTCCTGATCACTGGAGGACATCGGGACCTCACTGATGCTGAGGATGGCTGTGGTACCTTTCAGGGGAGCTCCGGTTCTTACTTTGAGCATAGCTTCCTGGCTCCAGAGTAGATCCCACAGCCTCCTGGCACAGATCCTTCATCCTGCCGGCACAGATTTTCTAGCTTCCATCACTGATCTTTGGGCCTTCCCAGTGCAGATCCGTGAAACAGGCCTGCATGAGACATTGTTATGGGCTCTAGGCATCCAATTGGACTCGTGGAAGGCACTGTTATGAGCTCTAGGTCTTCAGCTGGACTCATGCAGGACATTTCCGTGCGATCCAGGCCCTCAGCTAGATTCCTTGGTCTTAGCGTGTGGACAGGTTTCCTGCACTCTCTTGTATATTATTCTTTGTGTGACTATTATAGCTAATCTTATAAATATGTGTCCTGTATTGTACTGTTCACCTTGCAAATAAGCCCCAAACCAACACATTCACTCACACAGTTCAAGGCCTCTATGCTCCTTTCTTTTCAGAAAAACAGACTGCCCCCCCCAAAAAAAAACAAGTACTTTAAGAAATACTACAATCTCCAATTTCCAGCCATTGGAACCACTATGAAACCAGCCCAAATTCCTAAGCCATGTGTGAGTTTTGCAACTGATGTGGAAGAAGAACCAGCGCTGTCCTCTGTGCTCCCAAAGCCTTGATGACCCCCAGTCTCCTTTCAAACTTTTCTTTGGGCTTATTACTCAGGCTGTGTTCCAGCTCAGTATCAGAGAGATTTCAACAGAGGAGTAAAAGAAACACAGTTTCCCAGTTACCATTCTTTTAACTCGAAAATTCAATCGAGATCTCATCTTCTCTAAAACTCCTGGTGAGCAGACAGATTAAAGTAACAAAATTTTCCTGATTACTTGTAAAGACATGTGGTTCACATCCCACCTTTGCAACAGCTTTGATTCCCAACTTAGAATTCAGTCCTGGGCTCTCTGTCTAAGAAAGGCATTGACTTCAAGAATCTCACAGGTGTAACTTTCTGCTGTGGTTTGTGTCTGAGTGTTCCCCCAAAGCCACATGCAGTCATAGGGCGGGCTTTTAGAGTTTATGATTAATCTATGATCCAATGCTGGGATTATGGGTGTGAGTGCTACACCCACCCTGGGGCAGGTAGTCTGCATATGTAAGGGAGAGAAACAGGCTGCTTGCAGCCACTCCTCCCTTTTTGCTCTTGTTGCCTTTGCTGTTTTCTGCCATCATGAACTGTTGCCCCCTGCCATGTGCCACTCTGCCTTAAAGCCAGCCGAGTATGGGCTGTTGGGAGCTAAATAAACCTTTGAATGAGCTAAATAAACCTTTCCCTCCTTAATTTTGGGTGTCAGGTATTTTGTCTCAGCAAGGAGAAGAAAGTAACCATGACAGAATTTGGTACCAGAGAAGTGGGGTCGTTGCTGTGACTATACCTGACCATGTGGTTCAAGAGCCTTTGGAAATGGCTTGTGGGAAGTGTTTGGAAAGGTTTGTTGGAGATGTCACCTGAAAGAGTAGCACTAGAATACCTTTGACTGTTCTGTCTGGGCGATTCTGGTCAGAGCTCAGAAGCCCAGAGGGCTGATAGAAATCCTGCCAGTAAAGACCAGGTTGGGGACGTTTCTGCTATGAAGGACTGCATTGGTTGTTGGAGTCCAGATGATATGTGTTATGGCAGAATATGTGTTATGTTTGGCAGAAAGTTTGTCTGCATTTTGCTCATGTCCAGAGACTTTGCCTGAGACTGAGATTAAGGGCAGTGGACTAATTAATCTGGCAAAAGATATTTCAAGGCAGTTGAATGTTGGGGCAGGGGCATGGCTATTGTTGGGGGCTTTTAGCCAGATTTATATTGAGAATCAAGAGCAAAGAGCCTAGCAGGATAATTTAAAATGTGAGTTTGGCTGGAAAGGAAGTTCCAGTAAAGCTGTGGATTGCAAAGATAAGAGATGAGGAGATCTCCTTACTGAGGAGGAACAAGAGAATAGAAAAGATGGCCTGAGGGCATCACTTGGAGAAGCAAGTCTCCACCCTTGCTGTCTCAAAACTGCAAAGAAGAAAGATCTTGCCTTGAGGAGAAAGCTGCAGAGCGCCATATTCCAGAGTGGTGGGGTGGCAGCGGCCACACCAGGTTCCAGAATGGTGGGGGCACAGAGAATTTGTTCCTCAGAATTGGATACAGAGTGCTTAGCAATCCAGGCACTCAACCCCTATGGCCAAGAGAGGGGAAAGCTTGGTTAGTGCTCCAGGTGGCAGCAGACCTTGGCATCATCCATGTGGCTCTGGTTGTAAGCACATACAAAATGAGGTTAAGAAGGCTTCCACCTGGATTTCATAAGGCCTGCAAGGCCAGGCAGTGTGCCACTGAGAGGGCCATGTGTGAAGCTGTGAGTATGAAGCGAAAGGTGCAGTGGAGACCTCAGAAGTTTGGAAAAGCTTGGAATGTAGATCATCTTGGGAAAGCTGCAAGAACGGAGCAAAGCAGGCCTAAGAGAGAAGCCATGGGAGCTGTAACCACCAAAAGTGCCACAGGGGTGAAACCACGCAAGCCCTTTGGAGCTCACAATGTGCCACAAGTTGCTTCAGAGCTGGATATGGAATTACAGGAAATAATGTTAACCCTGCTGGAATTTGGACTTGCTTTGGTCCCAGTGCTCTGTATACCCCTATTTGTACCTTTTGGAATGGTACTGCTTATTTTGTGCCACTGAATGTGGGAAGTGTCTAACCTTTCATCTGCACAGGGACTCACAGCTAAGAGTTTGCCTTACATCTCAGAGGAGACTTGGGACTTGGACTCTTCAGCAGCGCTGAAACTGTTAGGACTTTGGTAACTCTTGAGATGGACTAAAATGCCTTTTGCATAAAGGGATGTACATGAGTCTTTGGGGGGAACAGGGGTGGAATGTTACAATTTGTGTCTGAGTGTTCCCCCAATGCCTCATGCAGTCATGGGGCAGGCTTTTAGAGTTTATGATTGATTCATGGTCCAATGTTGGAATTATGGATGTGAGTACTACACCTGCCCTGGGGCAGGTAGTTTGCATACAATGTAAGGGAGGGAAAAAGGCTGCTTGCACTGCCCCTCCTTTTTGTTCTGGTTGCTTTTGCTGTCTTCCACTGCCATGAATGATTGCGCTATGCCATGTGCCACACTGCCCTGGAGCCAGCCGAGTATAAACTGAAACCTCCACAGACGGTGAGCTAAAAAAAACCTTTCCCTCCTTAATTTTGGGTGTCAAGTATTTTGTCTCAGCAATGAGAGAAAAGTAACCAAGACACCTTCTCTGTTCTCTCATGAGCTCTAATAAATGCAAAAACTCAGCTTGGCAAAGGTCATTTCTCAAAATGACCAAGGTGGTTCACATCCTGGGTGCTTGTGGTCCATTTCTCCTCTCTAGGCCAGAGTGGAAAGTCATCCCATCCTCCTTGGGGTCTTACTTGTCTTGTGCTGAAGCTTTAGGGCTCCTCACCTGTGTAGTCCCCTCCAGGGCCCACAGGAATCCCTAGTCTTTGTTCTGCAGTCACAGGTAAGATCTCCACTTGCCCCTTGCCTCATCCCCCGCTCATGCCCTGTGGTAGCACAGAGAGAACTTGGGCAGTCTGAGATCTGAGGAAGATGAGGTAGGAGCAGTTAGCTACTTAGGTTTGTTAGGATATATCCACCTGTTTCACTGTCATATCTATGTGAAGCTAATTGTTATATTTGAAATTTTGCCTTTTTCCCATAAGTTGTTTCAACTTTTAGCCCTGGATCTGTGGCTGTCGGATCCATAACTTTTTGGGATTTTCCTTCCTTCCCCAACTGGATTGTAAACTCACTCAACAGCAGAAGAAGTTAAGTCTGTTTCGAAGCAGGTGCCACAAATTATTGCAACACCTGTCAACTCTGTCTGGTTTAGATTATTTGACCCTACCAGCCCTTTTGTGATTACAGGTCACCAAAACCTAGCTGATCATGGAGGAGCAGAAAATACCTCTAAACTGAATGAGCAAATGTGGTCCAATGAAGGACATTTCCGATACCAGGCAAGCAGTGCGATGTCCCCAGAGCTGTGTCTGAGGACAGTAGTACTCTGCAGAAGCCACTGGCGGACACTTGACACAATATCTGCAGGGCCACAGTGACATCCCATGCTCTTACACAGACTACGGTGAAAAGGGTGACAGGTATGACACAGGGAAGGTGACATCCCCTGCCCTTGCCTTGCCACAGTCCTCAACGGATTGCTCAAATGAACCCAAGGAAGGAAGTTCTAACTTCACCCAGGATGGCGAGGCCAATGCAGGTAAAACCCAAATATGAAATGACTACAAGTCTCCCTCAGGCTCCCTGCCTGCCCAGGGTTCCCGCTTTCTGGTACCTCGTCCCCTGTCCCCAGTATCTGTTGATAGTAAAACAACATCACAAAGCAATGAGTGGAAAGTTACATCAAAAGTCCTTCCAGTGAAAGGAGAAATCTGTTCTTAATGTCATAGAGAAGCATCAAATCCTCAGTGCATTTCATACAGCTCTTCCATTAAATGTTGACCTCCAGAATATTTTAAATTATGGATTTCCTGCTACCAATTACTAAAAAACTTGTGATATTTTAGTAGAATCGAATGACAGGTTTCATTAATCACAATTTGAGAATATTAAAAACTGCTGTAGGAAACAGAGGTTGTCCTGCCATGTCTCTGCTGACTTTTAAGGAGGATTTGAGCTTTAGGACCATCTTGTTCACACCCACGTGGACATTTCCACACTCACTGTTCATGTCTGCACTCGTGTCAGTTCCCTACCTTCATCTCGATTTGCTTGGTGTCTGGGTTCTGAAATAGCAGCTTTACTCGAGTGTTCCCGTCATCTGAAGACCCCTTCAGCTGGGAGAACTTAAATCTCCAGAGCACATTCTGTAAGGGAACAGAATTAGTTATTCCCAAAGCAGAGCTCATTTATACAAAAAAAAAAAAAAAAAAAAAAAAACCTGTTAATAGTTAAGAAGTGTACAGATAAATGCCATCCTCTGTAGCCATCTGGTCTACCTCTGCATGGAAGGTGTCAAGCCTCTGTCTGCTGCTGCTCCTGTCTGCACTGTCTGTCTGCCCCTCAGCACCTATGCCACATAACCATCTATCATCCTCGTTCTTCTACCTTGCCTCGTGGGCTTCCTGGGCTCAGCTTCCTGAAAGTGTCCTAAAGCTCTGATCCTCTTTTCTAAACACCCTCTATCAGACCTGGACTCAGCAGACCTGTGGGAGACAAAACAAGAACTTAGTTCCACCCAACACCACCTGAGCTGTGGCTCTGGGGAACTCTCTACCTCAGGCTCTGAGAGTCAGCACTCAACATGGGGGTCACACCACCTCTAACACAACCGCAAAATTCACTGGGTGACAAAGATGTCTTAGAGATGAAAGGCACTCCATACATTCCTACTCTAATCAAAAGAGGCCAAGGCAAATAACTACTTAGTGGTGTCTTCTCTAAAAGATAGTCTTTAATTGTCTGTATTTTATTGTAATAAATATATCTTCCCAGGAAAATTCTGATGAGACAAGACAGTTATTTTTAGCAAGGTATAGGCTGAGTTTCTCACAAAAGCATTTTTTAGGAGCATATTTTTCTCAAAGTGTCATAGAGAACAGGAGGTTGGGCAAAGGGGGATGTTTCGTAGAACCTAAGTCACACCTGAACACTGACTCTTATTTATTCTCACTCACACACTGACCTCAAGTCTCTCAACCATGTCTTTCTTTTATACTGAACTTAGAAATTGGGTAGAGGCATTGCATTTCCAGGCAAGTATCAAAGCATGTGCTCTACCACTGAGCTATATTCCTTCACCCTTTTAATTTTTATTTAGAGACAAGGTCAATAATTTGCTCAGGCTAAACTCAAACTAGGAATCCTCCTGCTCCAGCCTGCAGAGTGCTGGGATTACAGGTGTGTTTCACCACATCTGGCTCAGAACAGACCTTTCTGTGAGTCATGGGGACATTGAAGCAAACACCAGCAGCAAACAGGGGGGCCGTCACCAAGGATGAACAACATGGAAAGGCTGCTGACCATCACACCCATGGCCCCATCTCTCCCCAGAGCCTCCCTCTCTGGTCCACACATGGCCCCATCCCATGGCATCTCACAGCACAGCTGAAGGCTGGAAATGGCTGTGACCCCTCTCAACCCATTTAATGCTCTGCTGTGTGTGGTGTTAGCTACTCTCTGGCTCCCAGGAAGAACCTGTGGTTATGTGTATGTCCCCAGCAGAAGCCAGGGAAATCCTGGGCGTGCAGAGTTTCCACCCTCCTCAAAAAACACACAACACCCAAACAAGTCTAGGAACAAGAGCAACAGTACGTGTCTCAAACTGGATTATGAAGGAAAAGGCTTGAGCATGGTCTCCCCTTCCCAGGATAAAATCCTAGGATTAACATAAAAGAGCATTTTACATAGCGCCATCAGCAGCTGTTAAAAATACCCTCTACAAAAAGGGGTAAAGGTACCTGTGTGACAGATACTGTGCTGTTGCTTCACAGAGCCCCAAGGTTCTTGCATTTGAGTGTTATAGGTGACTTCTCAGTGTCGGCTGCTTTGAGAAAAATGTTTCCTTCTGAGAACCACACCCCCAGCCCCAGGTCAGTCATGTAGTACAGTACTAATCGTATTCCATAGCCCTGGTCAGGGGCATAAAATCGATCTTTCATCAGCTCCTCCTGGTCGGGAATGTACTATAAAATGGCCCAGATGCAGAGGGCAGGGTTGGCATGGATGACAGGCCTCATGCTCTCTGTCCCTTCCTGAGCTGCGTTGGGTGAATGCGGTGACACCTAAGGCCCCTGGGAGGACAGCACTCTCTCAGTCACCTGTCCACATCCACCGGGAGGGGTCTGTTTCCATTCTTCCTAAGATTTCCTCTCATGTAATGAGTATAAAGCAGTTTTTCTTAGAAAAAGAACACGGTTTCCATCATGGATGTAATTTCTGCATGTTTTGCCTAGAGGGCATCTGCTTAGCAGTTTCATCTGAAGACCTGAGCCTTTCTTAAAAGAGGACTGGGTCTCTGGAGCCGCAGGTGGGCTGTGGACATCCCATCCAATGAATAAAGGCCGAAGGGGTCCTGATTTTAGTTCTCCATCTCCAAAGACAGAAAAAAATTTCTGAGGTTTTAGGAATTGAAGAACAGGCTTATAGATAAACATGGGTTATGTGAAGCATACTAATGTTTACACTTTGATTACAGGTGCTGTAAACGACGATCACCAGCGCTCACTTCTCTTGTAACGAAGATGTGTTTTTAAAGTACTGGCGACAGAAAGTGAGATTTGAATCCATCCTTGGGGCCAGGAACTCCTGATTCAAGCAGGGCTCCCTTCCCAGCAATTTCCTGGGGAGCCTAGAGAACCCTTCTATTCTGCCCATTCAAACAAACCAGGTCTTCATTTCCTTTCCTATAAGAAAGTCAACTCCCTCTCCTCTTATTTCCTCCCAAACTGGTCTGTTTCACCCCACAAGCCTCAACTCAACCCGTAGGATTATGTGGTCCCAGCCAATTGAAGGACTCGGCTCTGGGAGCGCTGAGCCGGGCTCCAAGCCCATGTGACAATCGCACCATCCCCCCCCCCGGAGGAGGAGTTGTAATCTTGCTGCTACCAGTCGAATGCATTCATCCAGAAAGGAAAAAGGAAATCAGGAATAGAAGGCAACATGTAGAGGTGAGTCTCTTTTCTGAAAATGCCCTCAAGCAGTCCAAAAATGTGGGACAATCCCTCTTCACTTTGGGGTCTGCAGGAGCTGTGCTCTTCCTGTCTCTCCAACCTCTTCTGCATTGTCACCACTTGGTGGCCTAATGTCCCCACACCAGCCGTCCCTCCTTCCTTGTCCAGCTCCACCTTTGTTTCTAGCTTCTCTCCAGCTATAGTTTAATTATGACAGAAACAGGACATCCGTCTGACCAAACAGAGCTAGAGAAGCTGTGAAGCTAAGTGTCCCAACCCCCAGCTAGACACGGCAAGTGACAGTCCTCTGGGCATCAATGTCTTTCATTTCTGGCAGCTGGAACAGTGGTCTAGCTCATTCTTGTCTAATGATGTTCAAACAAGAATTAATGAATGTTTTCTCACTTGTTACGTAAGTGCAGGAAACATTTCCGTTGCCAGTCATGGTTTTTTTTTTCCTGCTCAATTACTCTTTGTTGATGTTGAACATAGACAGCGGATGGTCTGGTGATGAACTGGTGCTTGGTAATAATTGCTCATCTTGCTCATCTTTCCTGGGCAAGTTCAGAAATAGAGAATTTTGAAATTGGAACCTGTGTGTGCGTCTGAGGTTAGATCCATGTAGATACCTAGCATGAAAACCTGGGTGATTGTCAAGATCCGAGTCATCAGGCTTATTTATGTGTTTCATTGGTGCTGGGGCTCAAAGCCAAGGGCTTACATGTGCTAAACAAGCCCTGTACCTCAGAGCTGCAAGTTGTTTCTTACAGGCCTTCAGTTAATGCCAGGTTGTGGCTAGCTGTGGCTCAGAAATAATACACAAATGGCCTGATTTCACAGGGCAACGTGCCAGTGAGGTGGTGATTATCTGGTGTGTGTGAGCATGGTAAATCCCACGTTATTACTACAAATACTATGTGTACCCCTAATGGGAAACACCCTAACAATTTCCCTGGAAGTAAAATAACTCTGGCCTTCATAAATTTTCTAGTCCCAGAATTCTGGAGAGGAAGCAACTTCACCATCCAGCTCAGTGTTTCTCAGCCTCTGGGCTAATCATACGTTAGATCCAATGATCTCTGGGGTGCACTTTGGGGTGCTGAGCAGCACCTTTGGGCTCACCCACCCAAAGCCCTGATGCGGGAGAAATGTCCCATAAATCAGGATACAAATGTCTCCAGACACGGCCCAACTTCACCTAGGTGGGCGCCCTCATCCTGGCAGACGCCTTTGCCCTATCAGAATGGAGAAGGCAGAAGTGAGGGCCAAGGTCCCACAAGGAAGGGTTAGCTTCAAAGTGCAGGCTGCAGACCCGAGCTCGTGGGAGTCAGCACCAAGGTTCTTCACTGAAAGCTCAGACAGCTGGGAGAAAATGACTTTCAGCTTTCAGGGGCTTGAGAAGCAGCTACACTCAGCGTAGATAAGATCCCAGCAGAGGCTGAGGTTGTGCTTATACTCCTGGCCGTGATGCCAGAGAAGATGCAGGCAGCTGAAGTCCTGTGCACATCGCAGCGCTCACTAAGCTGGTGTTCAGTGACTTTTTCGCCCCAACCACCCCACCGCGCCTCGCCTTTCCTTTCCCTTCTTTCCCTGGCCTTTTTTCTCCTCTCCTCTCCACTCCTTCCTTCTTTCTTTTTCACAGGATCTCACTATGTAGCCCAGGCTGGCTTTGAACTTGGAACTTCTTGCCTCAGCCTCCCGAGTGCTGAGCTACAGGCATGCGCCACCAAGCCTGGCTGAGGTCACTCTTTGGGGCTAAGTTCCACCTGAGGCCCTAAATACCAGACCAAAATGGAGTCACTCCTACCAGGTACCACATGATCAAACTTCACATGAAGGGGGAAAATCCCCAAATAGACCAGATTTCCATAAAAACTAGAGTTTCACAGCAACCATCAGAAGCACAGGCAGCCCAAGGCCTGGAAATTCGGGTACTTCTGCTTTAACCCCTTCCACAAAAGCAATGGACAGTGAACCAACCTGTACTCTGTGAACAAGATACTGCCCAATGGAGGCCTTGCCTGAAAAGCCGGTTAGGTCTTTAAACTCAATGGGTTGACATTTTGCTTGCTGACAGCAGCAACCTTCATCCGGGGACTTTCCCTTTGCACTCATCCTTGGTCAGCAGGAAGTGAAAGTCTGGCATGATCACAGAACAAACCATGCTCCTGGTCTCTGTGGAATGTTTCCCCAACACGTCTGTGCCAAGGGGGACTCACGCACTCATGGCGATGCAGCTCATTACTTTTGCTGACAGCGGCATCTCCAGGCCAAGGAAAGCTGGACTCCAGGGCAGCATCCAGTTCCCAGAACCAGTTTACGAATACACGTGTGTGGGTGCTGGGTTACAGCACCGGAAATGCTCAGGTTTGAAGCCAGCAGTAGTCAGTGTTCCCTTTCAAAGTGTTTAATGCCCTGGGTCTTTCCTTGCAGAGGATCAAGAAAACCCATCCTGTGCCTCCTCCTCCCCCAGCTCCACCCTGATGGGAACCGTGGTCAACAAACACCACCAAGGTGGCCTCTCTATTACATGGGCTCAGGGCTCGTGAGAACCCTGAGGCCTGAGCTATGGGGTGAAAGACAGGGTATGTGCAGGCTCAGCTCAGACACCGCACTCAAGCCTCAGCGCTGGTCGCCCTATGGGGCATTTTCCAGCTTTAACACTCCTGGGAGGCTAGGAGATACGTCCCCAGTGTTAGTGTGCTTGGACCCATCAGTCTCACCTTCGTCTTGCTGTCGAAGCAGGTGAATCCCAGAGCGAAGTCCACGGTGAAACACAGCACCTCTCCCTGCCAGCTGCACATGTATGTTTTGGACTGGAAAAAAGCATTAATTTTGAGAAAACATGAGTAGTCCTGTTCACTGAGGTAGCTGTCATATTAACCGCCTTAGTCAAAAGATTTGTTTTTAAAGCCTAAATGTGCAAACTGGAGGACCCCAGGTCCCAGGAGCCTGTAGAGATGGCTGATCTCAGGACAGTCCCTTCTTGCTTTGTGACGTTAGGCAGACGTCTCAGCTTGGGAAAAGCCGTGTCCAGATAGGCACTGTTTCACTAAAAACAAATGAGTGCAACAGCCCAAGAAAACTGTGTTCCCCGGGGACGCCCTGGGTTCTCGAGGGTCAGCCTCATTGCTCCTGCACTCTGGATACGAATCCCAGGGCTGCAGATGAGTTCCGGTGGAATCCAGTTATATTGATGGTTTCAACTTAAAATGAACCTGGCTGCCAAACCGTATCTGATAACGACCAGGTAAACTAGAGTTTCATTATGCTTCCTGCTCATAATGAAAATAATCTAAGACTTAATTGTGTAATTAAATGGGAGCATCTGGTAGGGAACCAATAATTGTCTTTTAATGAGTCCCATAAATCTAATCTGAACACTATTTAATATTTCATTGACTTTCTTTTATGTCCTCCTAATGTATTATTTTTTCAGGAGAAGCAATAAAACATCTATGTGGCATTCCATATGGTATGATATATCCTCTCAGGAACAGTAGCAGATTTTAAAAAAATAACTCAGGTCTGGTATTTCTTAATAATTTACCTTCAAAATTAATTTTTAGTGTTCGAGAAAATTATGTTTTGCACAGTTCAATTAAAAGTGCTTTTTAAACATCAACTGTTAAAATTTCCAAATATTCCAAGAGATGAGACAGCAATCATGTTAGATACCAGCCAGAGGAAAACCCAGTGGTTTATTCTTGGCTGTCAGACTTTATTTTAAATAACATTGCTTACAATAATGTTGCCAGGCTAGAGATGGGCAGGTGACCCACCAAGCTGCCCTCTAGAGGATTAGAAACGTGTCCCACCATGAAGAAACGTGTCCCAAGGGTGAAAGCAGGGCAGGGAGCAGGGCAGGGCCACTGCTCAGAAATCCTCACAGAGGAGCCACAGCCCAGCCACAAGGACAGGAGAACCACCACCCCCAGCCCACAGCAGCAAGGAGTCACTGTCACCAACCTAGGAGTCTGCACATCTACAGACTTTAAATTCAGTCTTGAACTGGAATAAAATCAAAGTCAGCATATAGTGGGGAAAAACTAACAAATTAAGCAAAAATAGAGATAGCAGGTAGAGAAAAGAAATCTGCTTCACAAATCTACCAGGAAGGCTATGGCTTATTGTGTCTGAACTCGCCAGTCCTGTTCCAGGGACCTGTGCACCTTTCCTTCTTTGTCACTCGGAAGGCTGCGTATTTTAGTAGAAAGAATATGACCTGCAGAATAGAAATTCTTAGGAGGGATGATACCAGGGTGCTTTAACCACTAGGTGACCCTAGAGAAGTCACATAGCCCTTCTGAACTTGAGTTGTCTCATTAGTGAAAGTAAATCGACACTTAGAACTAGTTTATAGTTGAGTAATGCATGCATATGCAGAAAGCCTGGAGTATTATTTAACATGGATGTAATTCTCACAGCTGCTCGTGTGTGTGTGTGTGTGTGTGTGTGTGTGTGTGTGTGTATGTGTGTGTTCAGCCCTTGATTTGCACAATCTGTACTGCCATCTGCAGCTCTATTTCACAAGGTTCATGGAAGGAGAAAGGGGAAGGCTGGGCCATGAGTACACCTGGCCAGTCCAAGGGCTACCATCCTCCCTGGGTCTAGGCCCGAGCCGCTGGCACTGCGAGTTGGTCCCTAGATATGTAGACAGTGCCTCACCTCAGAAGGGAGCCCTCAGGGGCCTGGGTGGCCAGCTCTCCTGAGTTTCAGCCATGTTTGTTTCTGCCTCAGTCACTCCCAAGACACTCAAAAGCCAAACCTTGAATCTTGGAAGTGTTTTCTTTTTTTGTTTGTTTCTGGTTTTTTTTGTTTTTTTCCGGTACCAGGGATCAAACTCACAACCTTGCACTTGCTGGGCAGGCGCTGTGCCGCTGAGCTAAATCCCCAGCCCCTTGGAAGTATTTTCTGCAGAATCCACTTGGGCAACTCGATGCCTTCTCTGTCCTCACCAAATGTCAGATCTTTCTCTCCTCTTCAAGCAGCTGGTTGCTCTTCAACTGTCCCCACCGGAAGGCTGCCTCTGCCTGCCACCAGGCACAGACCATCTCCAGTTTGAAGTTAGAAACAAAGTGGTTGCTGTAGTCTTTGGAAAGAAAGTGACACAGGAAGTCTAGCTTCTGCAGCAAACAGCCCTGCAGGGATGCAGACGCTTCCTGTGGTTGGTTTCTCCACAGCTAAAACCCACTGTAGTGGACTGACAACTGGTGGTCAACTTATAACCCCCAGCTGAACCAAGTAAGTGTGGTCCTGGGAGTGGGAGGCCCAACTGGGGACTGTTGCCAGCAGTATAAGAGGCAGAACGGGAGAAGAAGAAGAGAGGCTGTTGGGAGCTGAAGAAGCTGTAAAGAGCTGTTGGTTCTCTTCGATGAGCTCAGCATGACGGCTTTCCTGATAAACTTAGCTTTTTTCATCTTCCGAGGAGCTCAGGACCTTGTTGGCACCAAGAATGGCTTTGGTTCACTTTGGGGGAGCTCTGGTCCTCACTTTGAGCCTCGCTTCCTGGCTCCGGAGGGGAAGATGGTACACTGCCGGTCTCCTGGAGAAGCTCAGGTTTTTAGCTGGACTCACGCAGGACATTACCATGGGATCCAGGCCCTCAGCTGCATTCTTCAGTCTTTAGTGTGTGGACATCTTCACTGCACTCTCTTGTATATGATTCTTTGGGTGACTTGTAAATAATTTTATAAAACATGTGTCCTGTATTGTTTCCCCTCGCAGAATAACCCCAAACTATAACACCCACCATGCGTCTGAGCAAGTCCTGGAGGAGGGTATGCTGTGACGAGGGCCAGCCCCAAGTCTGGCACCTCCAGCCGAGGGGGCAGTGGCTGGGTGAGCAGGGAGGAGAGCTGGCCTGTGTGTCCCCTGGACCTGTGGGTGTGATGTTGCCGCACAGCCTGACCCAGGACAGCGTCTGCGTGGCAGTCACAGCTCAGCCTATCCCGGAGCCTGCATACACCTTGGCAACGGGGGTGCAGGTAAGCAGCCCGCCGGATCTGCACATTTAACATGCATGCATGTATCTACATGCAGCTGCCGTCTTTCCCTGCTAAATCTGGGCTTTTAGAGCTGTCAACACCAGCAGCAGTGACCCCAGGCCTTCTGTGACACGCTTCCTCATTATCTCCTGTCATGCTAGCTTCTAGCAGTGTATGTCCCACTAAGGAATCCTACTGTCCATGATAACCAACGAGGACACAGCACGTTGTATCCGGCTCATACACATTTAAATTTGAGAGTAGCTTATTTGCTGCCATGAAAAAGGATGAAGCAACTCAGACACATAGGCTGTTCGGCGTTCCTGTTTGGACCATTATAGTTGAGAAGACTGGCTGCAAAGGGCCTTAGAACATGACATACTACAGTCCCTGCAGGACACATTGTGCTGTCCTGTATGTGACAGTTTTGTCTAGGGTAAGCAGAGCCAGAAGTTTCACCTTTCAGGACACTGGATGGAAAGTGCCTCAGCCCTTTCCTCACCTTAGGCATAAACACAGATGCAAAGCCCTCTGCCACCTTCTGCCACATGGGAGCTCCCATTTCCTGCTTGCACCTGGTACAGGGTGAACAACCATTCTGCAAGATGACGTGGATGAACTCTGCCCACCCTTGGTCGGTTCTCTTTGACATCACTGCTACCTACATCCTAATCACTATGCCCTGTGTATTGCACGCAAGCTCACCCCGGTCCTCTGCACCTCTAAGAACGTCGCTCTCTGGAATGCTTTCTCCCACATGGCCAGCTCCGTGCCCAGCTCCACCATGAAGATGTGGCTCTTCCCCTGGCCAGCCAGGAGGCTGAAGCAGTATGGTCTCTGGTCCTCCAAGTCAAAGTCCTGCAGCCCAAGATAGAGATTGGCTTGCAGCCAGTAGTCATCCATCACCCAGAACTGAAAAACAGGCAGATTGGAACTGGGTCAGAGCTGCAGGGCTGCAGCCAGACTGTGGAGACCAACTGCCATGCAGCAGGGCTCCGGGGGACAGGCTGGGGTGTCCCCTTTGCCTGGTAGAGGGCATCACCTGTCACACCCTTCAGGCAGGTTCCACAGCAGCATCTTTGCATTCACTGGTGTGGAAGTAGCCCATGAGTAAACCCTAAAAAAATGATGTCCGACCTCTGATTATCTGTCCCCGATAAATAAGATACTGGCATCCATACCTTGCTTTTCTACATTCATTTTAAAGATGCAATGAATCTTGCTATTTCTGTACTCAGGGTTAGCATAAAACCAACCACCAGCCTGACTGTAATGGTGCACACTTGTAATCCCAGCACTCTAGGAGGCTGAGGCAGGAGGATTGGAAGTTTGAGCCCAACCTGGGCAACTTGGCCACTTAGCAACACCATCTCAGAATAAAAATGGGCTGGAGATGTGGCTCAGTGCAAAGGCCCTGGGTCCAATCCCAGAACACACTTCTCAGCTTCTCAGAGAGTCTCCAGGAATGACGGGTCTCAGTCACACAACAGAAGACTCTGAAGCAGGATTTGGACTCAGGCAGGGTCCAGTCATGTGAACTGGAAGACCCTGACCAAATACTATGAAATATCCCACAAGCAAAGTCACGGCAGAGAAGATACAAACCAGCCATGCCCTGCTGTCCTGCAGCCCCCGAGGACAGGAGCAGGGAGCAGCAGCATCCCAATTCCATCTTCGCCAAGACTCACTGGTTTCAGTGTCAGTGGAGCAGCTGGGTGTCCGCACCTGTCAACACGGTAAGCCAGAGTCCCACTAGCCACACCTGGTTGCTGGCTCTTTCTCTCTCCATCTTTCTGTCTCTATCTCCTTATCTCTGTATTCTCTGTCTCTACACCTCTCCCTCTCCACCTGCTGTCTTCGGCTCACCCACTCCTACACCGCAAGGAAGGGTGCCTGCCTGCTCACAGGACACGGTTCAGCTCTGTGTTGTGACTCAGGCCTTGTTTTGTGGGCTCCTGGCTGCAGACTTCGAGCCCACCTCCTGCTGAAGGCAGCCTCTCTTCTCCTCAGGCTAGGGCCGGGTAGAAGACACAGATACCTGTGACCTTCCTGTTGCAAACTGCCTCACCTCATGGTGCTCAGAGATAGGGCTCAGTCTCTCCCCATCCCAAACCCTCCAGCAAGGGCTTCTCTGCCTGTTTGACTTCCATGCAGTTTTGCTCCAGCCATGAATTTAGAAAATTACTCAGGGATCCTTACTCTCCGTGTTGGGGTTATCCAAGCTGCTGCTCTCAGGCAGCGGGCGAGCCAGTGCTGAAACGCAGTGCGGGTCCCACAAACACTGGTGCCCTTTCTAATGCATGGAATGGGGGAGGATTGAGATGCGCTTTGAAACCAGGCAAGCCTGGAGCTGGGACTTGGGAATTGCTCCTCAGGACAGAGAATTCCCTCAGCTATGTGAGGAAGCACAGGAAGAATCCAGGGAAAGACAGCCGTCTTCATCCTGAGCCAGACATGGGCAAGTTCAATTTTCCTGAAAATGTAGGCTTGGGTATTTTCACGTTAGGACAATGCCCAGGCTGTCACAGGGTGTCCCTTGCAGTGGAATGGTGCTTTTCTTTCTATGCAAGCCAGAGGCTGCCTGCAATTAAGCTGACAACCATGATCAAGGCTGAGGAGTGCCATTTCCTCATCTATTTCTGGGAGCCCCTGTCTCAGGTAATCAGAGTTGTCGCGTTTCTGCTGCTCTGGCCTCGAGGTGCTAGAAAGCACAGTAACCAGGACCTGGAGGCCAGGAAGGACATCTCAGTGGCCCAGAAAGGCCACCTTTAGAGACCACTGTGTTATGGCAAGGGCTCATGGTCATTTTCCCACTGGATGAACAGAACTCATACAGACAGATCATAAAATATAGCCTATATAGGGTTGTTTTTTTTTTTAACCATTCCTCTTTTTTTTCAGTACTAAGGATTGAACCCAAGACCTCTGCACTCAGCTACATCTGAAGCCCTTCCTTTTTTTTTTTTTTCAATTTTTGTCTGGGCGGGGCTGGGGATTTAGCTCAGCGGCATGGTGCCTGCCCAGCAAGCACAAGGTCATGAGTTCAATCCCTGGTACTGGAAAAAAAACAATTTTTGTCTGGGCAAGCCTCGGTGGAGTTCAAACTCGTGATTTTCTCGCCTCAGCCTCCCAGAGTTCCATGATGACAGGCATGCACTATCATGCCTGGCATGACTATCCCATTTTATAGAGGAGGAAACTGAGGTTTAATGGTGCTGGATCCATTTCTGAGCACTGGAGCCAGGGCTTGAACTGGCCAGCGTCGGAGATGGCTGTGTGTTCAGCCCTCCCGCAGTGGGTCTCCTCTTCCTGCACTGGGGCCCCCACCAGCTCAGGTGCTCCAGAGGGGCAGGTCAGCCTGGCCATGCACCCTCATCCCCAAGACTGGAGGCAGGAGTGCCAGCCTCAGATTGCATCCCAGCAGAACCCCAGCCAGCCTGGCACGAGGCCCCCACTCCTCCAGGGCCTGGATTGGAACAGTGCAAGGGAACTGTTGTTTCCTCCCACACACTTTCCTTTCAATGCCCAAATTCACTGTGCAATTATGTGTTGTAAATAATTCTCTACAAAACCAGCAGTTTACCAGGACTTCTGCTCAGGGAAATAACCCTGCACCTCTGCCTTGGTGGCCTGGTGCCTCTGTTCTCATAGATCCAGCAGCCCACAAGCACGGGGCCAAGGCACCAGGCAGCGAAGCTCCTCAGATCTCCCTGAGGGAACCAGGCTGCCCCTGCACTGCCGTCCCAGGGGACAGCAAGACAGGCCCCCTAGAGGCCAAGGAGACTGCCTCTCATTCACTAAATCAGATTACTCTGGAAGCTTAAAGTGACCATTAGGGAGGAAATGCTGACCTTTATTAGTCACGGAGGACTCTTCCTCTAATAGGAGTGGAATACTTCGTTAGTTGCTCTGGTCAGTCCGGTCCAGGCTTAAATAAAAGCTTTTAGCAGTCAGAGTTGTACTTAAGTGTTAAAAAACATCCTCAACAAAAAACAGTTGATTATCCCCTCTGATTGATAGGCCACGTCTTGTTGTTAGCCTAAGAGAAGACTTATCTAGTAATTTCTTCTCAGGTATGGAACCATGTTCAGAACTAACATGTTGGCAAGAATAGAACTGCTGGTTAAACGTTTTATTCTCAATTAAATGGCCTTTATCAATATTCTGGATTAGACAACAAAATTCCCATTCTGGGTGTTCTCTATAAACTATACTCCTGTTTGAATGTTAAACTTTT